TTTTCATCTTTGAGAGTGAATGCCCAAGATTAAACTTCTAGTGCCAGCTTGCTTGCTGCCTCTTTCTGGATGCCTTAATTTTCATTGTCATCATCTTTCACATTGATAAAGAGTAGTTAAGTCAACCAAGGGCAAAGGACAGAAAAACAGCTTAATGGTTGGATGTCCAACCTTGTAGACTGATGACGTGACTGAGATCTTCTGGAATGGTGATCTGCTCCAGAACCCAACCTCTGGTTGATGATCCCAGTGATCTGCTTCTGCATCCTCTGCACCATGTATGCTGTCCCTGTGTTGTTAGATTGTGTGCGCTTCTTCAGTTCCTGCCCACATCTTTCCTACCATACAAAATTTGTTTCGCTGTGCATCAGACTTAAGCTCACTGATGCAGCGACTAAAGTCTTGCTCCGCTTACCATTGCCAGTCAGGTTAGGAGTGCCAGGACAATGAACAGAAAAGTGACAGATAGCGAGGGTGCTGCCACTCTGTGTGGTTTGGATCAAAATCTGGATGTGCCCTGAAGTGATGTCAGCCTGCGACTGCCGTCTGAAAGACGACATTCATAGTGCAGCAGCAGCTGTGCAATGCTAAGTTATAGGTTAGATATTAATAGGATCTTAAGTTTTTTTGATAGATATTTTTAACCTTGTGTTTAAAAATGTGCATTTTAATTACTCTGTGTGCTTCATGTTGAAGAAAATTTAAAATGAAAAATTTTGAAGACACAGGTATTTTGCATTTTAACAGGTTCTTCAGTAAGGTTTAGACAAATTTAGAGCTGTCTGTACTGTTTCTCCCTGGATGTAGTTTTGTAGAATGTCAGCTCTGCCTGGAATGTCCAGAATTGTTAGCTATAATGGAAATGCATGTCCTTTCACTGAAATTTTTATTTGACAAGAGATTGGTCATGAAAGAAACACTTGCTCTAGGATTACTGTAACAGGTTGCTTGCAACCAAGGCCATACTCATGAAGATCCGTGCTTGCTTAAACCAAGAATGATTGAGCATAATTGCTATTTATTTTTTTTATCTGTTCTTGGAAGAGAAAGTTGAACCTTAACTTCTATGTTTTCTCCTTTCCCCACATTCGCTTTTCTACATCCTTACTTTCCCAGTCCTGTGTTTCTCTGCTTCCTCCACTCATACTGTGATTTTCCCACCTTCATCTTTATGCGGTTCCCTTCCAAGTCCTTTACACCCAAGCCCTGCTCATGCATAGAATCAGACAATGTTTTGGGTTGGAAGAGACCATCTAATCCAACCCCTCTGCAGTCAAAAAAGGACATCTCTAAACTACATCAGGTTGCTCAGAGCCCCATCAAGCCTGACCTTGAATGTCTTCAGGGATGGGGCTTCCACCACCTCTCTGGGCAACCTGTTCCAGTGTTTCACCATTCTCATAGTGAAGAACTTCTTCCTAATGTCTAATGTAAATCTACCCTACTGTAGTTTAAAACCATTGCCCCTTGTCCCGTCACTACACGCCCTTGTAAACAGTCCCGTCCCAGCTTTCTTCTAGGCCCCCTTCAGCTACTGGAAGGCTGCTATAAGATCTCCCTGGAGCCTTCTCTAGGCCGAACAACCCCAACTCACTCAGCCAGGCTTTGTAGGAGAGGTGCTCCAGCCCTTGGATCATTTTTGTGGCATCAACACCTGAATCACAAACGTTCCTGTTTCTGCGTCCTTTGTGGAACTGGCTGCATAACATAAGATACTCAGACCAAAACTGTGGTCTAAGTATTGCATGATAAAGCAGTCAGTTCCACTGTACTCACGGGATTTAGTGTAACGTTTACTTTGTGTATTATAACTATGAGGTTAAGGATGTGCTGTTACAAAAGAACAGATGCTCTCAGGAGCATTTACTGCAGTTACAGGGAGGGGATAGTTTGTCATAACCAGGTATGTAGAATGCTTTTTTAGCTGGGAGGAAGATAATTTTCATATAGGAAAGGAGAAATAAGTTGATGTTTCTCCCTTTCAAGTACAGTTTGTTGAATTTTCATGCAGTATCTTATTCCTAATCTGAAGTACAATAAAGGACAGCTTTGACTGTCTTCCCTTAAGACATTTGGTGGATTTGAAAGATCACTTTGGGATTAGCAGCTATACCTCTAACCCGAAAAACCCTGATGTTAGTCTGCGTTCTAAACCACATTGTAGTGACTTCAGCAGAAAAAAGTAATTTACAAGGTATATGATAATTTTTGCTGAATGTTTAAAAAATGCTGATTTCACATGCTTTTATGTATCTTGAGTATGACGTTGATACAATTTGTGTACATTTAGTTCTTTGGTTTATCTAGAGATAATAAAAATCTTCAGAGAGTAACTTGTTATGGAAAGTCTAAAACTATTAACTCAGTTCTAACTTTTGGTTTTCTTTTGAAGAATGCTGTTGCTTTTTTTTAATGCACTTGGAAAGTTATGCATCTGAAATTGCACTTTTGAGTTACAACATAGGGATGTAATCTGTGGATTAATTTCAAGTACTTATTTTTAAAATTTAGTATGACAGTAACATTTTTCCTAAATCTAGAAACTGAGTCCTCTAATACTGTTACTCTTTATATTGGGGAAGAGTGAGAAAAATGCTTTTGAGGGTTGACAACAAATGATTCATTTTGAATGAAGCATGATTATTAATTTAGACTTGAGTTCTAGCTGTTGGGTTATTAATGCTTAAATAGTGGCAAAATATCTACATTCTGAACAACGTGATTTAGAAGTGTCTGCAAATAATAATATTCCTAGTTTAGTGCCTTAATAATCTACAGTATTTTATCTTGCAGGTTCTTGCAACAATGGAACAACTCGAAAAAGTCAGTAGTTTTCAGGAGTTTGTGCAAATATTCAGCCAGTTTGGAAATGAAATGGTAGAGTTTGCCCACTTAACTGGAGATCGGCAAAATGTAAGTATTAATAAAAAGCTGAGAGAGATGCGAGGTGTCATTTTCATCTGTTTCACTGGAAGATTTGGTTCTTCTGGAATGGTTAACTGTTACAAAACAAAGATTGGTGGTGTCTTGTCTCTGAAATCTTAATTTCTTTTCCACCCAAAGGCTATATCTTGATTTTAAACTTCAGCCTGAACTTTAAAAAAAAATAAAAACAATCTAAATATAAAAATATAACTTTGCTGTTTGATCTGTGTGTCTTCCAGAAGTCTGGGTGCCTGTTACTTGAGATATCCTTTGGCTTCAGCTACTGTTTTTTGGTTCTAACTTTTCTGGCTTACTACTCTGGTAGAAAATTTGTCTGTTGTTACTTGGCAGAAACATCCAATGTTTGCACATAGTGAAGGGATTTGAAAGCAGAGTAATTCTTTTAGAAAACTCCAAACATGAAATTTTTAGATTCCAATAAAGCATTTGCTTGTAATTTTTATTATTATTGTGGAATATTTTTTTAGGTTTAGGTAAAATCTTTCTTATGTTGCAGATATGATTTTTTACTTCTTGCATGCAGCTACTCTTTCAGAGCCTTTAATTCATGCAGAAAACTTTTTCCTTCTATTTCTGTGTAAATAAAAGGTTTGCTGAGGCTTAAGGCTTCTGCTGTGAGCTCTAGTTGCTTCTCCTTGGCAATCAAATCCTCCATTCGGAACTGAACCAGGGTCTGATACAGATATACAGAGTCCCTAATTTCCAGCAAAATTCAGGATTAAATTCGTATTAAAAAGTTGCTAACCTCATGCATATAAAAGTAGTTTTTTGTGATATGGCGGAGCATCCTTCAGATAAAACATTGGAGAACTTTGTTAAGAAAACATTACACGTTCCTTTTAGTGTTGATGTGTTCTGAGGCTGCTAAGTACATGCTCAGTATCAAAGAATCAGTTCTGGAAGAGCTACATACAATTAAAGGAAATACCTCCTTGGAAATGAAATCTCTTTAATTTTCCATTAAATGTTCATAGCAGTCATTCCTTGGAAAGAGAGAGGTGCATTACTAGTAAGTGATATTCAGCTGGTTTTGGTTGCCAATGTTAACTGGTCTTTGGCTCTCCCTTGCTTGCATACTTGACTCTTTTGGAAAGAG